AATGGTCCAACTCTTCGAATGTCACTTCTATGAGCCCACTATTCGAAACAACTTAGCGTATCCATAGGTACTTTTTGTACAAGAATCTATTCTTAAGCATAAATCTGTCAAGCTCCCTCGAACTCCATGTTGGTAGCCCATGTAGGTCCGATCCCGTTGATAGGTCAAAACTCTAGACTAGAGTTGATCCTCCTTGGAGTTAGCCCATCAAATTCTTTAGCTTTCTCTTCAATTGCTCCTAGCCCATACTCCCTTGAGAACTCATTTACTAAGCCCACAAATTCATCTTCTTTTTTTTAAGCTCACTCCATACATTAATAATATTATTATTAATATTATTTATCATTAATATTTTTTTAGGATTATTTATTAGGATTATTATTAGAATTATTATTAATGTGTTTAGTAGTCTTTTATTCAGATTAGGTTAGTATTAGGTTTTTCCGGTCTTTCGTTATAAATATGTACTTTGGGATCTTTGTTTGGATTAAGCATAAACTAATAGAAGAATTATCTCCCTAAATCTCTCTTCTAACTCTCTCAATCTCTCTTTTCTCTCTAGCCTAGGCAGCCGGCCATTCTAGCTCTTTCTTTCCTGTTCTTCCCCAGATCCCAATCTCAATCGCTAATTCTGTTCGTATAAACCCTAATCCCCAAATATCAAAACCGATAGAAACTTTGTCGCTATTATGGAGCGTCACTTAGCTGAAGCCATTAAACTAAACGGAAGAAACCGAAAAGTTTTGCATCAAATAAAATAAAATCAAGGTATGTGGTTCTTTAAATGGAAGTGCCAAATTTGTGAAAGTTCTCAAAATTGCATTTTTGTGGGTATGCTTGTGCTTGGCTTGCAGTCGTTTGGTTTGTTCTGTAGCTTGGCCGGTTGGGTGGACGTTCGCCACCTCTTGTGAGTTAGAGTGATATTTTGGGTCTTCCCCACTGTTTCGCTTCCCCTTCCCCTTCCCCTTCCCTTTTTTTTATTTTTTGCGGGTGCTTCTCACGCCTCCTGATATCCCCAGCGGCCGGCTCCTGTTTGCAGAGTGAACAACGAAGCCACTAGTTTAACAGCAGCTAGCGCTTGTGACTCAGCCTACACAGCTTCAATATATGTGTTCACAACAGAAGATTTTGATACCATGTTAAATTATACGAAAATTGAAATAGAACACAAACACTCGCTCGATTTAATTACTTGATTTTCCCATGTAGAATATCTAAAATTAGTCCACGGAGAGGATGCCTCCCCCACTCAATCTTTCATTTCCTATTGATCAGCAATTTCTTTTTTTAAAAGTTATTGACTTAAACACAAAATCTGATCGGATGTGACTGCTTTTTTCATCTTCCAAGCGCCAAATTTGTCAAGTTTTACAAAAGGTAGAGCCCCCCTCTCAATCCGCGGCGTGAAGCCATTAAAAAGAAGAAACCAAAATCTTTTTCATCAAATCAAATCAAATCAATGTAGAGAAAAGAAGGGGGGAAAAACTACTTATTGTGGTTTTCATAAATGGAAGTGCCAAACCCAATAATTTATCTAGTGGAGCTCCAGGCCAAGCGTAGTTGGGTAGCCATCAAGGAAACCAGACTTTGCCGAAGCTGTGTACTTTCACAGGCAGGCAACGGTGGGACTGAGAGGGGTGGGAGAGATCTGTTCCCAACGGTCTCGGCCAGAAAATTTCGTTTAAACTCTTCTCATATACTTTAATGCATTGGTTCTTCGGTACATAATCTAAATTATACTTATACTTATCGTTTGCACCATAAGAGAATTTGTACATTTATGTTATGGCAGAAGTTCATTTTATCCCATAAAAGTATAAGTTCAATTTGTACGATGAAGTTTGCACAGGCCCGCCATATTTTGTGCTTTAATTAACGTTTAATATTGGAGGTCGTGGAGATTCGAACACACAGCCACTTGGTCAAACCGGCTCTAATACCATGTCATAAACCAGTTGGTCCCAATAATTCAAGCTATTGGGAGAAAGTTATGTTGTATATTATATCACTCTCTAACACCCATGACGTTGAAAGTTAAAAGCCTTTACGGAAACTCTAATCAATCGTGGTTGTTGTCTATTGTTATTGTAATTATTATAACAACGGATTTCAACGGAGCATATATACGGATTTCAACGGAGCATATATATATATGGCAAAGGCTAGCGTACGTTCGGGCGTACCTTAGTCTACCGTACGCCCGTTGAGTGTTGCTATTTAGACAATGAATTTACCAAAGTTTGAGACATGATATTATATCATAACCCCTAATGGGTGAACCCCAATCCCCAATTCACTAATCCAAAGCATAATATTAATTTAATCTTGAAGTGAAATTCAACGGTTCTGATTAGTCAAAATTATTGTTGATTTACTTTTTAAGATTAAACGAATCTCATGATTTGGGTTAGAAAATTAGGGGCTGGGGTTGACTCATTAGAGTTTAGGGTATAGTATCATGCCAAAAACTCCGGTTAATTCATGATCTAAATAGTAAAACTCAACGGGCGTACGGTAGACTAAGGTACGCCCGGGCGTACGCTAGTCTTTGCCATATATATAGATATAGATATATATATATAAAAAAAATTTACAAAAGATAGTCATATTGATTCAAAATATCAGGTAGTTACACCCTAGAATATAGCCAGGTCTGAAAATCAAAAGAACGACAGGTAGCCGGATACAAAGAAAGGGCATTTCTAGCCACCACATGGGCTACCTTATTGTTATTCCGACCTACAAAGTACAAATCGTATACTAAACCCAGGGTGAGAAGCAAAACATTGCACAACTTCATCCAAAATACCCACACACCTACTATCTCTGGTATCAGCCCGATTTATCTTTTCGATGATGACCTTGGCATCCCCTCAAACCGGACGTTCCGAAGACTACGATGTCTCTAAACTGCGTCCTTGTCTCTATAAATCATTGGATCCTCAATGTCTCTAAACTGCGTCCCATGAGACTGAAGGACCTCTCTATAGATATATATATAATTATTGAGAGATTTCATGGAGTTTTTGTTATTGATACTTTTGAGCTCCGTTGAAATCCAACTTTGCGAATTTGAGAAGTTTGCTATGGTAAAGGGCCCTCAAAGTAGGAATCGATGTAATTTATTCCTAGTAAGCAACCTTGGGATGCGTTTCCAAACGGGAAAGCAAAGAAAAAAAAATCAATTTTACTTGTGAAATGAAAGGACGACGATATTGTGTTAGAGGTCCGACTTGAGGATGATTGTTGCAAAACTTACGGTGTTATCTAACATAAAATTCTCCCTTGAGCTGCCTCGTAATGCTAAGCAACCCTAGTAAGAGACGAGATTTCGACCAGGAGCTCCATCCACCATGCACCTAGAGAAATTATCGGGGTAGTGGGGGGCTCTACCTTCTGTACAAAATTGACAAATTTGGCACTTCGACATATGAGAAGATTTGACCTCCACTGGTTGTCTTCGTTGATCTCTATCTTGATTTTATGTAAAACCTTTGGTTTCTTCTTTGTGGTTTGTTGCTTACTTGGACAAAGAAAAGAAGGAATCTTATACTTTTCCCTCATCATTTCTCCTCCTGCCTTTCCCCCAAGCGTGCTGACATAGTTGGTGAATGGATATGAAATCTGGATGCCATATTACATGTAGTAAGTGGTAACATTAAATATGTTATATTAGTTCGAACTTCTTTTAACATTCTTAATTATGATCTTATCTTACTATTAGGATCATAGTGAATCATTTTGTCTTTCTTTCATGTTGGTGAATCGATGTTTCCTACCATCTAGCCAATTATTCTAATTTATTCATATATTATTGACGTTAGGAGAGGATCCATGCGGTGTCTGAAATTTTTGTGAGAAATTCAAATTTTGTCGGTGCAAACTAAAAACTTGAACCCAAAACCTACAACACCACTTTAATAATAATGGTAACAAAGACACTTTCATCTAGGGCTGTCAACCGGTCGGTTTCGGTTTAACCGAAAATCGATTTCTCGGTTTTCGGTTAAACCGAGACCAGACCTTACCGTCCACCGACCGACCCTGTGCATCGGTTATCCGTAAAACCGACCGGGCGGTTTCGGTTAATTCACGGTTAAACCGGCGCAACCGAAATAGAAGGGGATGGTTCGGTCTGCTGTGAAAACCGACCGAAAACCGACCATGGCAGGTAGAGATTTACAAGGAAACCCTGCTGTTCTGGAATTTTTTTTCTTGTTTTGGTCTTGGAAACCCTGCTGTTCTGGACTCTGGCGGGTGGCGGCGATTGGAGGGTGGTGGCGGGCTGGCGGCGACGGATTGGTAACTGGCGGCGGTGATTGGTGACTGGCGGCGCGATTGGAGGGTGGCGACTGGCGAATCGTGACTGGCGGCGATTGGAGGGTGGCAGGCTGGCGGCGATTGGTGACTGGCGGCGATTGGAGGGTGGCGGAACGCGAAAGACTGGCGCGGCGACTGGAGGCGCGGCCGGCGATGGTGTGCTGGCGGCGGCTGTGCTCTGGCCGACGACGATGGCGACTCTGGTCTGGTCTCCGAGGAATTCGCCAGTAACGAGAGGATGAGGAGGAGGAAGGAAAACGAGAGGGATGGGTCTGGCGGCTGTCCACGATTGACGCAAGTGACTAGGGTTAGGGTCGTTTCTCACTTGCCAAAACGACGTCGTATAGCTCGGTCGGTTAGAGCCGGTTAACCGGCTTCGGTTACTCGGCTAACCGCCCGCCCAGAACCAATTCCCGACAACCGACCGAGACTGCTTTCCTTCGGTTTTCGGTTAGCCGCTAACCGGCGGTTACCGGTTAGACCGGCCGGTTAGCCGCTAACCGGAAACCGAAATGACACCCCTACTTTCATCGCACTACAATCTTGACCGAGCTATGTGATGTTATACGTACCTCTAGGGAAAATGGCCGGTCCATCCAACAAAAAAGAAAAATAATAAGAAACTAATTGAATGGCAGAGATGGATTCAATTAGGATAATATTATCACAATACTAATATTATATACCGCTGAGAAGTTCCCATGCATATATATATATATAGCACCAGCTAGGATCTTTCAGAACTAAGAAATAGAAAAAATCAATCCGATCAACTAAAGCCAACCCTGCCGGAGATCAGAATGGAGCTCCTCCACCTCCTCAAATATTGCTTACTGTGCCTCGTCCTCACCGTCACCATCCTCCGCTTCCTGCTGCCACCAAAACCTCCGGAGGCGGCGGCCAAACTCCCGCCGGGCCCCACCCGGCTCCCAATCATCGGCAACATCCACAACCTAGGCGCCAAGCCTCACAGATCCCTGGCCGACCTCTCCAAGAAACACGGGCCGTTGATGAGCATGAAGCTGGGCAGAATCACCACCATCGTCGCCTCTTCTCCAGCCGTCGCCAGGGAGATTCTCCAAAAGCACGACAGAATCCTCTCCAACCGCCACACCGTCCTCTCCATGAAAGTCCTCGACCTCCACAAATTTTCCATGCCCTTGCTCCCCGCGGAAGCCAAGTGGAGGAACCTCAGGAAAGTGTGCAACTCCTATCTCTTCACCCCCCAGAAGTTCGACTCGTACCGGGAGCTCCGCAGGGAGAGGGTTCTCGAGCTGTTGGAAGATGTCCGACTGGCTGCCTCCCAGAGACCGGGGGAGGCGGTTGACATCCGGAGGGCGGCGTTCAGGGCGACTCTGAACTCCCTTTCGTCGAGTATTCTGTCGTTGAATCTGGGGGACGTGGAGAGGTCGGAGACCGCCAGGGAGTTTCAGGAGCATGTGAGTGGGATCATGGAGGAGGTAGGGAAGCCCAATTTAGGGGACTATTTCCCCGTCATGGGGAAGATGGATTTGCAAGGGATACAGAAGCGGATGAAGGGACATTTGGAGAATGTTCTCAACTTGTTTCAATGGGTCATCGACGAACGGGTGAGGAAGATCAAGTCCGATGAGCTCTATGTCTCGCCAAACGACATGCTCCACACGCTTCTCGCCATCGGAGACGACGGCGAGGGGACTGCCGCCATGGATCCACTTTGCATCAAGCACTTGTTGTGGGTAAGTAGGTGTGGTTAACCCAATATATATAATGCCTTCTTTTTAATTACTAACAAGTAACAACGAAATCCAGTCTACCAACGAATGGTCAATGATTGATCACTATATTTTTGTTTGCTTCCTATATCAGGATATGTTCGTCGCCGGTACTCATACAACTTCAAGCTCACTAGAATGGGCAATGGCTGAGCTTCTTCGCCATCCCGACAACCTCGCCAAAGTCAAAGAAGAATTGGATAAAAACGTTGGAAAAGGCAATCATCTCCATGAATCCGACATTTCTCGATTACCATATCTACAAGCTATAGTGAAAGAGACTTTAAGGCTACGTCCAGTATCTCCCCTGCTAGTTCCCCGCAAAGCAAGTGAAGATGTGGAAATTCGTGGTTTCATCGTGCCGAAAGGTGCGCAAATTCTCGTCAACATATGGGCTATAGGTCGCGATCCCGTGGTGTGGGAAAATCCGGACTCGTTCATGCCAGAAAGATTTTTGGGTTCGATGATCGATGTTAGGGGGAAAGATTTTGAGCTGCTTCCATTTGGTGGCGGAAGAAGGATATGTCCTGGAATGTCGTTGGGATTGAGAATGTTGCATATGATGTTGGGTTCACTGGTTCATTGGTTTGAATGGAAGCTACCAGATGGGGTCGTGCCAGAGAAGCTCGATATGGAAGAGCAGCTTGGAATGGCTTTGCATAAATTCAAACCTTTGCTTGCTATCCCGAGAGAAGATGGCAAAATATCTTATAAAAAGGATTAGCGTTATGTAGTTGAAAACTATCGTTGTGATGATCATGCCAATATCTCTTCCTGAGCATGATAACGTAGTCATAAACTTCAATGGATCAGGAAAAGCCTTGAAAACACTCTTCCTCTTCATGCATCTCTTTGCCCACTCCTTTCTTGTTCCCATCATGTATCCTAAGAAGCTAAGGTTGAGACCTTTGTTGCAGGTTCGAGCATCATATAAATATTTTTGTGGGAGAAGTTATATATACTAGCTACGTACTGTACTTTCCTTTGTTATATATACTGGACCATGGTTTTGCTGGAAAAATCCCAAAATACACATGTTTTTAAAAAAATTTCCCAAAATACACATGTTTGGGCATCACCGCTGTTGTCAACCGCAGTGAATGCATTCACCGCGGCAGACCAAAGCGGTGAATGCATCACTGCGGTTGACAGCCGCGGTGAATGCCTGACGTAACACTGAAACTTCAAACAAACGTAACTTTGCGCTCGGTTATCCGATTGTAGCGAAATTTTTTTTATTCCATATAACTTTTCAAGATCTTTAAATCTGAAACAAGACTTTATCCCAAAAAAAAATCATTTGCTACCCCGAACGAGCAATTTTTCGATTTTAACAAACTTTGGAAGATCATAACTTTGTGCTCCACAATCCAAATGTCATGAAACTTTTTTTGATTTTTCATAAATTTTGAAGTACTACAACTTTGATTATAACCATAATTTTGGAAAGTATGTGGATTTGTGAAAAGTAAAGGCAAAGTTATTCCCAAAATCCCGTATACCCAAAAATACTTCTTTTTAAAAAAATTATTTCCTAGTCAAAGTTGTATTTCTTAAAAAGTTATGTGCAATCAAAAAAAACTTTACGACGTTCGGATTGAGGAGCTAAAAGTTATGTCCTTCCAAAGTTTGGCAAAATCGAAAAATTGCTCGTTCGGGGTAACAAACGATATTTTATGCTCTTTAGTGTAACTGTAGAGGTAAATACATTTATAGGAAAGGAAAACCAGTCAATGGGTGATCATAGGGGATTAAGAGAATCAACAATTCAACAATTGAACATTCCAATGACTCAACCATCTAATCCCTTTCTTGAAATAATGCCATTGAGATTGGGATTGGATCCCAATCTGAGAAGGGAAGATCATTATATTGCACCAATAATTGAGTCAACACAAGCATTATTTGGTAACTGGGTTGCTAGTTGCTACTGGCAGCACACCAAGTTGGACTTGGGACAAGGATGAGGAGGCGACAATCCTTGTGTGGAAAATTATTGTTAAAATGATAGCTAATGCATGCTAAGCCACATATCCGATGTTAAGTAGCTTTGTAAGGTTTTTAATCTAAATAACGTCCCATTAGAAGAAAAGAAAGAAAGAGACATATCACTACAACGTAAATGGGTATTTGTGACTAACACAAATGGTCGCTAAATGTGAAATTTTAGTCACAAATTAGTGATCAATTTTTTTATTACCAGCTTTGGTCATATTCACCCGTTAGAAAACCATTTTCAAACCAAAATTTTCATTTGATCACAACAGTTGATGATTTTTGTGACGAAAACAACAATGGTCACAAATCAAATTTTTGGTTACAAATATTATTTCCAACTAATATTGAAGGGTAATCACTTTTACCACCTTTCACCATCGTATACCACGAGTTACCCCATATGCAAGGTAGGTATAGGATTGTATATTTGGTCTTGAATTCCCCCCCCCCCCCAATAAATTTGTAGATTTGAGTTAAAAACGAAGGTGGTACAGATTGGTGCATTATGATTGTACTAATAGGAGGGTAATTGGTATGAATTGTTTTTCAAAAAATATGAAAAAATGTATATTTTTTTGTAAATCACAAGGAAATTGTTACACCCGTCTAAAAAATTGATATTCAAGCTAAAAAATAAAATAAAAATACAAGTAGATTAAAAAAATAAAAATAAAAGTATTTTAGCTCAGCCCTGAACCCACTTAAAAGTAAGAGATCAAATTTAGTTACACAAATGCATAATCAAGAGTTATGTATCTTACCCTAGACCCATGGTGGGACGCAGCCAATCAGTTTTGGTTCTCCAAATTAATATTGTTGTTTTCTCTAAGTAGTTCTAGATCATTTACTATCACTAGATTAGGGATGGCAATGGAGCGGGTTTGGAGCGGGTTTGCCTAAACTATCCACATCCTCGCTTTCAAATATCTATACCCATACCCGCCTCATACTCATGCGGGGAAGGTTTTGCAAACCCATCCCCATATCCATGGATTTCGGGTACCCATAGGTAATACCCCCATACATCCAACATTATAATACGAAATATTTTACATGTAGACTTTCAATTATAACATTAAACGCACCTACTATATCATGAAGTCGAAAAAGAGACAATCATTTTTAACGATTCAAAGCATCTTATCCTAAAGCATCCATTAATCCATATCAGAGTAGAGTACAATGTCATTCAAATCATTATTCTCTACTGTGATACATCTATTAAGTAATAATTAACTAACGTAATCTTGTTAACAAGGGGAAAAAGTGAAAGAGTGAAGGGAAAATTGAGAGAAATAAATTAGATTTTGATTTGGGTGGCCACTCAATTGCATTTATACTATATATTTTTATTGAGTTATACTCACTATTATTGATAGGTTACAAATTGATTCACATATTTTTCATATGTGAAGAAATATTTTTGGTGGGACGGGTATGGGGCGGGGGAGGCTAAAACCATACCCGCCCCATACCCATCAAATTTTTTTGCGGGTTTTACCCATACATGCCCCATACTCTGTCAATGCGGGGATTCCCCGCATTGACTGGATCGGGGACGGTCGGATACCCGTGGGCATGGGTTTGATTGTCATCCCTACACTATATGGGACAACCCACGATCTTGATTTTGAGATTCATTGAATCTACAATGTTATTTAATTTTATTGACCTAATCTGACTATTACTATGATATTACAGATTTTAGCACCTTTGTACAATTGTTTTTCATGTTTAAGTAATACACTAAGTATGTTATTATAAAATTGTAACATTGTTGAGTACCCTAAATGTATTGTGTGTTTCAATAAAAAAAATGTATTGTGAATACATGTAAATGGCCCAACTATGTTTTATGACTATTATCTACCCAGAAATCAATATATTATAAAAGATCTAAAAGTGCCGAGGAAAAACATATAAACATATCAATATTAGATTTAAAACACAAATTGAGTGGTTTAATTCATAATTTTTTTGAGAATTTATTAGTCAAAGATAACGAAAATATGTTTGAGAATTTACAAGAAATAATACGTTCTGCGACAAAAGAATTAATCGCTGAAGGGCTATAGATTCGTCGCTAATAATTTGCAACAAAAAATTTCGTGGCTAAAAATATCTATCATTCGTAGCATACATATATCGGTTTTCTTACATGATACAAAAGTCATAAACTTGACTCTCTCCCCCTTAGATTGCTTTTGATTTTGGCTATGATTCAAATTCTGCTTCACTACTACTGCTTGCTTAGCTTTCACTTCAAACTTAATTTCTCTTTCATGGAAAGAGCAACCATAGACAAATACGAACATTTAATTCACTTGAGCTTCGAGATTGAAGAGGTGGACAAGCTTCACTTTTTTTTTTTTTTTTTTTACAATTGGACAAGCTTCACGATGCACTTGAATTCTTTACTAATGTGGAGAAGAACAAGATAATTGTTGGACAGGGCTCCTTTAGTTGCTACTAGTCCTAGATCTGCATTTTAAGAGGTTCAAGACTAATGGACACCAAATATAAACCGTGAACACATAAATGTCGATAAAATGAATCATGACATGTTCAGGCGGTGAACAACATTTAACACCGTAAGCATATTATTTATTGGTGCTCAATAGTTAAGGAAAGCATCCATATAGCCATAGCCATGAACATCCAAAATTCAACACCCAATAACATTTTTTTTTTGTTTTTATTTTCGAAGAGGCACATGATCAATGAACAATGAAGCAATGTGCGCCTTTAAAAGATAGGGATCCGTGTAGCCATCGCCTTTCTCGTATAACACGTGAGAGCAACGTGCATAATTGAGAATACGTTGTGTGAGAGCTACAGGCAGTGGAGTTGGGTTTTGACAGTACTCTTCCGTAGCGTCTTTCCAGGCTATAGAAATCTCATTCCGAAAGGATTCAACGGCTTCGTCCCGAGATGCTGATAAGTTCTCCTTCACGTAGCATTCCACTGCGGAAGCCACATGCTCTCTCTTTCGTTCCAACTGAGGAAACAAACACAAATCAACAGTAGTGAAACTAAGAACCAATTTACAATATTGTTATAACCTTCACATCATGTAAATGTTAATGACCGGTATTCTCCATGTGATCTCACCGTTAGATGTAATTTGTTATACTTTGACGAATCAAAATCGTCTATATATATAATATGGGAGTTTTATGTCATTCTTTTGGGAGATCTATGCAATGCTTTACATCAAACATGGATAACACAAGTAAATGTTTAATGGTTACCTCATGCGAGGTGATATCATTTTCGAGCCTACCAATGGCAGCGACACTTCTTATCATCTTAGGTTCATTGGAAAGCCATTCGAAAGCCTCTCTTGTGGCTATTTCTGGTCCCATCCCAAGAAAAGCAGACGCAGAAAGAATGAGTGAACTGCTGGTGATATATGCTTCCTTCTTGTACTCCTCAAGTGTTGGAATGTAGCCTTTGGTGCGCCACAGAGCCTCAGTCAAGTAGGATCCACATATTCTTTTTAGCTATATATCAATCATGCAATTGCGAAGGAGGGAATTAATTAATGAGTATTGAATGCTTCCACATTGATTTCGTCTCAAGTTACAAGTTCACTGTCGTACCTCTGCCTTAGCATACTCAACACCGAAAGAGGATCCTAATTTTCCAACTTCCACATTGATTTCGTCATAAGTGTTAACGATGACACGGTAAATATTCTTCATCGTGTCGGGTAGTGCTTCAATAGCCTCCCCATCAAACCTGAAAGGAAGTATATGCATATGTTACACTCAAGAAAGGGAATATATAATTAAGCAGTTAACTGAATTCTAAATGATCATATGTGTGTGTTAACAGCAGTAAGCACTGCACCTTTGAATAGCTTCTGTGAGGATTTGGAGCTCTTCGTACGTAGCAAAGTTATCAAAAGTGTCATCCACGAGCGACAAAGTTAAGAAGACCTTGTTGAGTATCGTCCTTGCCAATCGATACTTGGGCTCGAAGTAGATAGCATTCATACAAAAATAGCACTCCACGACTCTG